TTTTTTTTTTTAAATATACATTTTAGGAACAATGTAAATGTCTTTACTGTCAATTTAGATCAATTTAATGCATTCTTGCTGAATAAAAGTATTAATATCCAAAAAAGAAAAAGAATCTACATTTTGAATGCTAAACATTAATATACATTAATGTACATTAATGTATATATTGATTAATGATTTTGACGAGAAATTATGGTATATGATTCTAAACATTACTAATTGATTTGTCCCAGACAAGCCGTTCTTACACTTTTCACTGCAATCTAGTTTAGCTAGCTAGATTATGCTGTTTATTTTGTATTTTATATAATGTGTAATATTTGCCAGGCAGTTAGTACTGAAGCATACCGGTGTCTCGAGGTGGTAACTCTGGCTTTAGGTCTCGATTACAAAAGTCAAACTGGCAGCATTCGATGGTTCGACGTGTCTGTGCAAACTGTGAATCCTGTGAATCAAACAAGTCAAACTTATAAAGTCTGATATTTAATTATATATGATATCAAAGCGTGAAACACTTATAAGAAACAACTTTCCTTACCTTGCACTGAAAGTGAGAGCCCTCATATTTCATACAGCCTGAGCTTAAGATCACATCGCCATTTTCATCTTCTTCAATTATGGCGAAGCACTGCCCATTTGTCCTGTTATGTTTTAAAGAAAAGCAATCTACTTATTAATTTTTTTAATACATAAAGCACAAACATGTACAATAATCACTTAAAAGGTGCCACGCCCTATGACACTAACTCGCAGGTGTTGTTCTTGGCGTCATCAGGGCAGTGCCCTGAGCAGTGGCAGCTGAGGAAGCGGGCAGCATCTTCTGGTGCCACAGTAGAGTCGTCCCCGGGCCTTCTGGCGTCTGAGCCAGGCTTCACTCCAGTGCCCTGTAGCACGTGGTCAGGATTCTGACCTGCTGTAAGTGACAAGACACTAACAATCAATGGCAGGCCAGGTGAGCAAACACACAAAATGGCCAGTAGGTGTTAATAAACCCATGTCTGTGGTTACAGAACCTCATACACTACTGTTCAAAAGTTTGGGGTCAGGAACATTATTTAAAAATAAATTAATGCTTTAATTCAGCAGGGATGCATTAAATTGATCAAAAGTGACAGTAAAGACATTTATATCGTTTCAAAAGATTTAGATTTGTTAAAAATCTGTTCCTTTGACATTCATCAGATAATCCTGAAAATTATAAAGGTTTCCACAAAAATATTAGGCAGTGCAACAGTTTTTCAACTGTTTTTTCATATATCATAATAATAAGAAATGTTTCTTGAGCAGCAAATCAGCATATTTGAATGATTTCTGAAATGTGTGACACTGAATACTGGAGTAATGATGCTGAAAATTCAGCTTTGCCATCATGAATAAATTGCATTTTAAAATATATTAAAATAGAAAACAATAATTTTAAATTGTAATTGTATTTCACAATTTTCCTTTTTAATGGAATTTTTAATCAAATGAATGCAGCCTGCAGGGCAGAAGAAATTTCTTTCAAAATCATTAAAAAAATCTTACAGACCCCAAACTTTGAACAGTAGTGTACATCTATGACAAAACTAGCTTAAAAGCTAGCAAGTAGTGTGTGTGTGTTTTTTTTTCTTCATAAAATCTCTTAAGTAGGGATGCCAAAAGTACCAGTACTTAAGAACCAAAAATATACTAAAATAAAAAAGTTTGATACCAGTCTTTCTTTCTGTAGTATCTGTATTGAATGCTCAATTTAGTAGTCTGTTCTGGCTGAGTTGGCTAATAAAATTGAGGTATTGTGTCAATCCTCAATAAGGTCACCATCTCCTACTTTTATAATTTCCCATCCTTCACTCCTCCTCTGTAAATCTGCTCCCGTTCAGATCCAGCCCAACTACCAAGTACATCCCTGTTATGCCCCTTTCGGTTTCACACCCTCACAACCATTTATTTTGCTTTTTATTTGAATTTCAGTTGAATAAAGGCCTCTGAGATATGTCACTACTGATGTCTTATCATGCCACAGTGCATCAGCTTGTACTGCTGAAACTTTCTGTTCAGCAGGACTCCACTGCAGACGTTCCTGTCCAGACCTGTCGGTAAAAGAGCTAATCACTCACAAAGCAGCAGTTTGTGAGATTGGGCGGCAGGGCGACACAGCGCTCTTTTTATCAGCTGCATTCCATCCTCAGATCCCATTACGGTCTGTCTTATACAGCCTCCACGTGTGCTGCTGATCTTACAATTAGACTGGACTCTCCTCTTGGACTAATTCTATTAGGACTCAGTGATTAAATAGAGAGCTGGGCATGATAAAGGAGCTTCTGTTACTCAACGATTCAATGCATAATTCAATGGATCGTCTACAATGTACATACAGTGAAAATGTGATTGATGAGTACAAACAACTCAATATAAACACAGTATGAGCCTAACAAAACAGGCAGCCTGAAAGAAGTGCTACTAGAAAAACGATATCTTGAAGAACACATATTTTCCCTAACATGTGTAAGCATATCACAGCAGTTTTTACTTTGCAACTGTTGAATGCCCCACGGCAAAAGAAAACGTTTCATATTTAGCTCTTAGTTGAATTAAATGTAATAAGTTAAAATGGATTTTACCATACTGTGGGTGCTTAAAGAGATAGTTCTTCCAAAGAATAAAATTCTGTTATTTTCTTATCTCATGTTGTCCCAAACCTGTATTACTTACTTTCTCTTGTGCAATACAAAAGAAAATATTTTGGAAAAATGTGTGTTTTTGTCCACAATGAAAGTCAGAGCGGTTCAGTGTTGCTTTTAGTTTGGAATGACATGAGGGTGATTAAAAGATTTCATTTTTGGGTGAAATATCCCTTTAACCCTCTACAAACCAAATTATGTAATGAGGTTCATGAGACATAAATCGTTATAGTCATTACTGTTGTTTATATAACAACTCTAGTTAAAGTTGCAGATTCAGAACAATTTTTATAATGATATTTACATTAAAAAAACATTAAAATTGGGATGGTGTGGAAAGAGGAAATTGTGGTGGTCTTCAACAGCATTATGAGTCAAAGACAGAATGCGAGACAGCAAGAAACATTAACAAAACAGTCGATCACAACACAAACAAGACTGCTGGAGAAACACCCTGAGAAAACAGAGCTGATGGAGGCAGTGCAGTTAAATGTCCAGATAAAGCCTGTGAAGCTGCGAGACGCTACCTTTGATAGGCTCCGTCTATCAGAACAATTCTAGACCGCAAACTAAATGATGCACTCAGCCTCTCAAGTGCTCTCGTTCAGGGTGCGGACAGACTCCATATCTTTCTTACTTAAGTGGATCAAACACACATCTAATGTTACTTTACTAAACTATAAAAAATAAACTCTTAAAGAGAACTACACTGTCTAGACTTAATCTCATTCAACTGCTCGCAAGGGATTTCAATGAGGTCATTTCAGTAATTGAGCTACTCATAAAGCAAATGTAAATGATTGTGTGGCCTTGAGCCCAGGCTAAGGGAGACAGTCCCCCTTTATGACGGCAGATCCTGATGCATAGGGCCAGGATGGAAATTTCGCATCAGGAGAAAGCTGGACAAGGATCAAATGAGCAAAGCCCCAAAGAGGAACCCAGGGGATCCTTCTCCATCACTCTTTACTCCTCTACTCCATTCTTTCCACTCAGGGTCAGTGCTTGAGGAATGACTTTGGGATTGAAGGATCTTGAATCCTTGAAGGTTCTGGTTTTCACTGAAACTGCACAAAAATCTATGAGAGTGGCAGAAAGTGCAATGTACAACAATGCTAGGATTTCAAAACTCTCATGGTCTTCAAAATAGCTGTGAAGCAGTCCTTCTGACTGGGCAAAGGATTTCTGCCCACTGCTGGCTTGTGACTGGTTGTGGGCGATGACTGATGTGTCAGAGGGGCCCATTAGAGCCTCCACATTCACATGTGTGCCTAATTTTGCCGCCAGTTACAGTGGAGTCTGAGGTCTGGCAGATCATCCCCCCATAATGAGACTCTCTAGCAGATACACACCATTACCCTCTCTCTCTCACTTAAAAAAAAAAGAGCAAAGGGAAGAAAGAAAATCAAAAATAGATTTCAGTCTTTGGCATAGTTTCCCTTCACAGCAATGCATTGTTTCATTGACTATATCGCACTTTACATTATTTTATGTTCAGTCTTCACAAATGCTACTTGAAATGGTACTTGGAAGAGAACTGTGAATTAAATATAGCTGAATTAAGTCAGTATACTGGAATAAATTGTCTGTGTCATTTCTGGGGCAATTTTACATGCATTTTATTTGTACACCTCACCAAATTAAATGCCTTCCTGCATTTGAAACACGCTTTCTTCTCCCCTAGCAGGAGTGCTAACCTCACTCACTATTCAATCAAGGTAGAAGTCTACAATTGCTTGGGAAAAAAGCAATTTGCACTATGGAGGCAATTGAGGGCTTTCAGTCGCCAATATCACCTCTGTTTCTTCACGATTATGTTTCAGAGGTGCAGACACCTGCCTGAAATTACATCTCAGGGGTGCATCTGATGAGTAAAGTAAAAAACATGTACTATAGAGGCATTTAACTAGCCGTTACACAACTCTAACACTGAGAGAAACAACAGTGCATTGAGAAGTCAAATGTCCTCGCCTTCATGCTGCGTCTTTGGTTTCAACCATTTCCTACTTTTCTGCTGCACCTGTACAAAAATACACTGACAAGGACATTAGACAGATGTTTGATATAATATGAACTCGAGGAAAACTGAGCTGTTCGAAATCTGACTACTGGGCATGTTACTAGGCTTCTTTCTCTTAACTAATTTATCAGAATCAAATAAAAGACTGTACCGAAAAGGCATTTAAAAAAATCTAAGTGTGGACTAAGAAAGATTAATTCCAAACTTTTCAAACATTCATAACAAACAAGTAAACAAAAACAAATAAACGCTTTATTTGTTCATTCACAAATGTAGGTGAATTTAAAAATATATAATAAAACGATAATAATGAAAAAAAGATAATAAACCACTCTAGTTCTTAAGTCAGTGTGGAACAGAAAGCAAGCCACTTGTAATATCTAAAATCTACTAAATAAGGGCTTAAATCTGAAGATCAACTGCAAAAAAAGGGCCCAAGTATTTCTGTGTTTGAAATAGCTCTTACCAACTAGCAATTGTGAAGTGCCATAGAGGAAATGGTTAATGTGCTAAAAAAGGAAGAGAGAGCAGCAACAATCACTTCAACAGCTTCCTTTAGTGGGGGGCCTCTGAGTGGCTCATGGTTCAGGAGTGAGTCACGACAGGAAAGATGTCTTTTGAACTCCCTGGCATGAGTAAACACACCTCAAGAGATATCAGAGGGTGTTCTAATCCAGAGCACAAAGTATTGTTTTACACAGAAGTTCAGAGTTAAAGTATGTTAACATAATGTGAACTAAAATATAAAGCAGTAGGCTTTTCAACTCAAACTAAAAAATTTTCTGTGCGCTAAAACTGCTTTCCAAGCAATCGGCTGTTGCTGTTTGCCTTCACAGCTCATTGATTGTCTACAGGCAACTATCAGTTAGTTTGTCTCAGGGAGGGCGTTTTTATCAAACAAAGTTTTCTTTTGTTTTACATCAGTAAACATCACGTTATTAAGCATATGGAAACGTTCAGACGGACACACATGATTCCTGCCCTGCTGTACTGCAATCACATCAAAGCCCCTCAAAAAAAAAAAAAAATAGATGCAAGAGAATGCGAAACTCAAAGCAACCAGAGTGTCTTAGCTTTAAAATTGTACATTCAAGAAAGCGATGAAGGAATTTCCCCTAAACTTTAAATCACAAAAACAGCCATCTGTACCTCACAGAGTTCAAATTAAAATATAACAATTTACACCATTTTACATTGCATTATTTTCTCATCAAATTAAGTGCTTCAATACAGAGCTTCACAGCATAAAACAAAACACTACATTCTTATTTTTTGTTAAAGTTCTATGTGTGGAATTAAATTACCTGTGGCATGAGTTTATGTTTGAGTCACAGCCATTCTACGTGATAATTTCGATTACTATTATGTTACTACACAACAATAATATATTTCTCGATTTCTTCAATTAAACATCTTTAAATGTTTGAGCTTTCAGTATGAAAATTGTCGGTGTGTATTTGATGAGTACTTGATAAACTCCCCATTCAGAATTAAATATTGAAATGCTTGTGAGCTGAGCTCTCAAAGTAGCTCTGGAGATCACATTCATGTGGAGTCCTTACATATAACAAACTGAACTCTCAGAGCAGAGTTTGCATAGAGAAATCACAAATAGGCTAGACAAACTCCTATCACCTTGTTTGAATACCACTTGTATTCTTGAGACTAAGCTTTGTTTATGTAAAGACTATGAATTTAAGCTAAAGCTACTGTAAATATACGATGAAGGCAAGGACGTGTGAAGGAAAGATGCCTTACCTCCAGCGCAAAGCCTCAGATGCAGGCAGACTCCGGCCAAAATCACAGTGACATACAAAAGCTGTGCCATCGTCAAACAGCGTCGCCGTAATGAGATCAGTGATGACAGCTTATGCTCCTGAAAACCCAGTGAACACTAACGTACAGGTGGAGCAATTACAATTAGGGTTGAAGAGATGCAGAGGATGAGAGGAAGAGCTGGGGGATGATGATGATGGCACTAGAAACTCAGAGATCCCTTCTCACGGGGTCCACGGCACTAAATTAATAAAAGAAACAAACAAAAAAAAAAACGTGATGAGCAGATCATTCATGTCTCAATGCATCTTTCTAGACAAGTTTAAACAATGTCTACAAACACAAAGTCCAAAAATTCATCTATAGCTTAATAATCTCTCAATATTACAAGAAAAAAAAGACTTGATTAAGCAGTGCTGTAATTCTTCTTGGTAGCCCTGAACATCACTGCCCCCTTGTTTTTTCTGGACTTGACCCCTCAACCCGTCAGGCCGGCGCTACCCTTGAATGCTGAAACATGCCCAAATAATTTGATGAAGGATGTTCTGCAATTACCCCATTGTCCCCTTCCAGCGTTAACAACGTGATGTGTCTGTTCCCTTGTAGGCCTGTGCATCTCGCTGCAATTAGTGGCCCTGAGCGAAGTATGTCCTGAGCGGGGGACAAATTAGTGGCGGAGTGGGCTGGTGTCTGTCACTTCTGATTTGCCCAAGGGGGACAAAGAGCCCCGACCTGTGCCCCACTTTCACACATCCCTGACCGGATAACAAGGGAACAAAGCTAGCCTCCGCAAAGCGAGGGGACAAGATAGCTGTGAAGGCACCTACACACAGAGACAAGAAGCTGCGGCTGCTAGGTTAAGAGGTACACAAGCAGCAGGATCAAGCACAACCGGGAAAAGTTGAGGCCTGCTGCAAAGAAGATGCCTCACAACTTACCAGGTGGCATCGCATCACATTCGAACACCTTAGAAAAGAACGGTATAAAGAGCCATGTTAAATTTGCATGTGTACACAGATATGTTAAGGATACCATATTAGACAAGCACCCAAAGTCCATTCTTGCTTTCTCTCTTGCATCAGGAATTAAATATGGGGTGAAGACCACAACATTTAAGGTTGAGAGTGGGAGGAGAGCCAACACAGTACAGGAAGATGTTTAGAGGTGTCAGTCACATTCAAAAGACCCAGTCTTCAGAGTCACATGATTCTTCAGAAATTGTTGTGATATGCTGATTTGGTGCTCAAGAAACATTCTTACTATCCATGTTGAAAACAGTTGTGCTGCTTAATTTATTGCAACTGTGATCAAAAAGTTCAAAAGAACATCCTAAACGCCAAGAAAATGAAAGCAATCACTCACATTCTGCAAGTAAAATCAACTTTTATTCAAATCAACTTATACATGAATGACTAGGCAAGTTGAGTCATGTCTTGACTTGATGAAGACAAAACTTGGATCTGCACACACACAAAAAAGAAGTATGGCTAGAAGGACACCCCTGAAAACAGCTTACAATGCTTCTAATATTAGACAGATTAAATCTACTGCTAAACCTTGTGGACTTTCATATAAAACAAGTCCAGCACTCATGTGTCTTGAATGGACATCTATCACTATTGTTGCTTCAAAAGTATCACATATCTTAAAAAGCAATATATAAGGCACACTATGGTTCAGTGTTTCATCAGACACTCCTGGAGCTTTGCCATCTGAAAGGCTTTGATGGCGCCATAAATTTATGTAAGGAGGCTGAATGAATAGGGGTATTGTATGGTGATGTGTAACTATGGTGCACCTTTGGAGCCAACCTTAAGACCTGTACTTAATTTTCTGCATTCCGCTGAATCTTGCACACAGCCTTCAAAATGTACTCGATGAGCGCAGATGGATGAGTTTGACACTCTTCTGTCTGAATATTTCACCTAGTGTGTGTGCTGTTGTACGCACACGACACAATCCGTGCGGGCACAAAAATTGGGCTGTGTGTGGACGTCCGTGGACCCTTCTGATCACGAAAATTACATCCCGCAGACAGTGCTCAGAATGCAGTCAGCCGAAGTATCCTTTGGGCTTTATGCTGGACCATGAATCGCTCTCAATCCCTGAGGAGTGAGTAATATCTGATCTTCCTAATGTGCAGAACTCAAGGGTTCCCTCTGGTCAACAACCCAACATAAACGACAGTTCACCACAACATACAGACCGTTTGGGTGGGGGTTCCAACCAGAAGAAAAAGCCAATGTATGATAATATTATGAAATAAATCTCACCTTGCCTTTCTTATCACTTCTAACTAAAGCCTGCATGACGACCAGAGTGGTCTGGTGTTTGTTTCCCCCTCGCCCCCGCTCTCTTGGTCTGCTTTGGCCCGGGTCTCTGGTCCCTCCTGGGGCCCCTCCTTACAGCAGGGCTCCCAGTACTGGAGGATCCCTTCCCTCAGTGTCGGCGCTATGCCCGACATGCCTTTCAAGGCCTGCTAGACTGCAGGGTAGACTTTCTGGCTCCGCTGCCATTGTTTGCTTGGCTGCTTTGCGCCTCATCTCAGGAAAGGATTAGCATAAGAATACTTAGGCACATTGAGATGTGCCCCACGACCAGCTCTCTCTCTTCTATCATCCTCTCTTCTTCTCATCCTCACCGAAGTCCCACATCTCTTCCTGACACAACACCAATCACTGTCAAGCAGCTATATGGCAGAGAATCAGTCAAGCAGAGACTTTAAAGGTAGCACAAGACTGGTTACACAGCAGTGGATTGCAGGAGAAGAAGAAAAGTTAATCTGTGGAGCACTTGGGTGCAATATGAGCTCCAACGGCCAGATTCCTCTGGAAGGGTAATGGGTTGAGACAACATTTCTAGAACAAAGCCCCCCAAATTTGAGCACATTTTTGCTGAGAAGTTAAGAAACTCAGCCCAACAGACTAAGATCGGAACAGCTGGTCTGTGAAACACTAAGCAAATCTCACTAAAGAAGCTGATTTGATCTTTGTGCTTTATAACTGGACCAATTACCCCAAAATGAATTACCCCTCACTTTTTGCCTAGCTCTTGCTTGTTTTATGGCAATTGTTTAAAAAAAATGTCTGAACCACTTATGGTGCAAAAATATGTATAAATATAAAAAATGTATCAGAATTACTGTTGGTATTTATCATTACAGTCTTCTGTTATTGATGTTATTTATCATTACTTTTTACTGTTTATCATTAGTCAGTAGGAAATGGAATTTGTGATTGTGTTTTCCTTCCTAATTTAATGTAAATGGGATTATTGTGCCGCCCTCGTGCCAGTACATGTCATCAGATCAGGACTCGCAAAAATTCAAAATCCCTGGTAGCCCTTCGGGCAGGTACTCTTCAGATTTTGGTAGCCCGAAAATTAAATTAACTAGCCCAAATAAAAAAAATACTTTTTTTTTTAATATATATATATAGAAAATCAGATAGGAGTTTAAATGTCAATCAAAATATTTTCAATATACAAATATCAACAAATATGAAGGAAGGAATTTTATTTCACTATTTACAGGGTATCTGCAGAATTTATAATTTAAAATTTAAAAGAAAAATACAGAATTTATGTATTTAAATATACATTTAAGGCAATTTATGACCCATTTGCACAAGTAAAATGAACAGTATGAGTGGGGTTGGACAATGTCTATGGTAACATACAGTATTGAGCCATAAAATTACATGATTTACAGTTCAGATACAGGTTTTCACAAAAACAAAAATTGTATACAACAGCATTTCAGCCTTTAGACCATTTTTATGAAAAGGGATAAATCAAGCATATAAATTATTGTCAATTTAAAACGTATAAATATTACTGTCTTAACTGTTTAGATTTTTAGAAGGCACATTAACTTCTTTCTCATTTACAACTCATTGTGTTTGCTGCATAAAAACACTAGTTGATATTTGCATTGATCTGACCATAAACAGCAAGAAAGGCTGGTTGGAAATGCAAATTCATTCTCTGCCACGAGGTGGCGCTTTAGGAGCGCTGAAATATTGTGGTTTCCCCGGTAACGGCTGTACACAAAGCAGCTCCATGCTCATAAATGCTGCTTTATCAGGAATTATAGCGAAAAA